AGTTGTGTGTAGTGTGTCCTCTATTCTAGCGTGGCTAGCGAGGCTCTAGGCGGTCTTTCAATCCGTCCTCTCAGTTTTTAGTTCATGGTTGTATTATTCAGCCTTGGGCTGCTTGTTTTGCACAGTTGTGCGTTTTGATTTATAATATCCTACCATTTCGACTAGAAAAAGGTCAAATATTTATTATATGACCTTGTTGGTCGAGCGGATAAGTTCTCATTTGTGAATGAGATGTGCAGGGTTCGGACCTTCCCATTAACATTTTTTCGATAATTTGCCACCACTTGCAACCTCAGCGCAAAAAAAAAGGGGGGGAAATTGAATTAATTTCCACGTACGCTCATCCGGTAACCTCGACCTGCCGTAGGCGGTCAGAGGACCGAAAAACTAATTTTATTTCAGTTAGTGGACTATTTCCAAAAACGGTCCATTAATGGAACCAAATTGAAAACGACCTGTAGATAAAGAACAAAAAAACTTTTTTTTTTTCCATTTTTATGTCATTCATTCGAAACTCTGAATTTGTTATTATCCGTATGCATCTTAATAATCAGGCTTTTATAATAATAAACATTGAGACTCTTTGCTCTAAAGGGCAATTTGGTTCAAATTGATTGGCACTACATTAAATTTAATTGGCACATTTACATGTCTTCGATATTTAAAAAAAAAAATTATAAAAACACAACATTCAAATTCAAAATTAAGTTATAAATAAACTATTATCAAACGATTTATAAAACAGAAAACAATTCAATTTGAAAACGTACGACAAAAAAAATAAACAAAAAATAAACTATGCATAAATAGCAAACAATGCAATTTGAAAACAAATGACAAAAATAAACAAAACAAAAATAAAAATCAAAACAGAGAAAGTCAACACAATTTCAATTAAAATAAAAATTTAATAAATGAAACCAAGATAAATTTATAGATAAATATTGTAAGTTTCTCAACTTAAAATATTTATCGTCTTTCGTAACAATTTCAAGATTAATGGGGCATTGCTAGTTGGAGAAAATTACACTCTACAAATGCTTATGGAATTAATATCAAAATTACGAGCAGATAAACTTTTCATCAAATTACGTGTTCTCTACATGAGATTTTTTTAGCAATTAATGCGACTATCTGTTCTTGAAAGTGTCACCAATAGCTAATAGTCTTTTGTTTGTTTTAGTCTTTGATAAAACTAGTGTAAAGTTGTCAAACATATAATGACAACTCTTGTTATAGGAAGCAGTATAAATAGCACTTTGTAAACAGATTATTTTTCATCAATTCATTATTGATTTTTTCTTTCTCTGTCGTTCTCGATTCTCTCTATCTCTAACTCCAGAAACCCTAGATCTAATATGGTATCATCGTCAAAGATCCTGTGATTTCTCTTGA